TAAAATCTAGCTAGAGCAAAGCTGAAATCTCATAAGTGATATTGATAGATCAAAATAAATATCCATTATACTAGTAGTTACAATAAATACCAATTTATTTTAGATATCCAGCTATTAAGATAATTAAAACAAATATTGGAACATGCGTATCGTGAGCTACAGATGTTCTGCACTATATCAGAAATCAATGCAATTATATCGACTCACACTTTAATAACCGGTTTTTCTGTCATAGATCAAAATCGCACTAAATCTCTAGCATTTTTTTGTGTTAAAGCTGTTTGATAGTAACATTTATAAATTAATGCATATCGGAAAATAAAAGGAGTGCGCTGAGTGATAAGTGAGGTGAACATTTCAACTAACATACGACATTTAATTAACCAAGTCCTTCCATTGCTATGTTTACTCAATATGCAGAGATCTTGATGTCTATGTTAAGCTTTGCTTTCGAAACAATATAGCTTTTGGAAAATCTGACTACAGAAATCTATGTAGACTTTCCGTCTCCCAACATTAATGTCCCGAACTAACTGAACTTATTAGTTTGCATGTTGCTGATAAAGAAGGGACTGAATATAATGAAGCTATCGTTTTCTGCTAACACTGTTGTTCTTGCTTTGTTTACATTTGTGAAGACCAACCAAAATAAATGTAACTACTCATATGAACGGTCTCACGCGTCTCACTTCACAATCAGTACCAAAACAGATTGTGTATAAATAACAACCAGGGCACCAAGATACAAGATCAGAAGTCGCACTAGAAACTCGGCGACTTGGATTGTGTGAAAGCGGTTTATCTACGATGTAAACATTTATGTTATTGTGTAAATACAATCCGAATAAATTCGCAGAAAATAGGAACCATTTACATATTTCTCAAAACGTTTTGTTTGTAAAACTATTAAAAATGACTAATAATACAGAAACTAAAACGCTCCACATTTTGTGAGCGAAAATAACCAGTGTTGTACACTTGTGCTTCCCGCAATATAAAGATTATCGGAACAACTTACTTTTAACTGACAGTTTTTCTGCTTTAACTACTTTAACCAAAAGCTTTTTGGATGCAAAATTGTTTGCCATGCGTTCCCTCAACGGTGACACATCTACTTTAGTATTTGGTTTACGCACTGGTACTGTGTGACTGAACTCCTGTAAAGAGTCTTTATGACCAACATTTTCAGTAATTGAAGTCTCAGTTTCTTTTCTTTTCACAACTTCCGTACTGGTCGTCTCTGATTTATTAGATGGAGCAGAGATAGTTTCCATTCGTATTTGAATCTCAGACTCGACTTTACTGCATCCTAAATCCCGACAGTTCGCACCAGCAACACCTTCTGACTCAAAACTTCCTAAGTCCCGCTCTTGAACCAAACTGGATGTTCCCTCTTCTCCATAGCAAGATGCCGACCTGATCATTTTACATACGAATGGCCGTGGAGCATGGCGAGCTACTAAAGACTGGCGTAAACGAGCGTTATGTGCGAGTACAACTGGAGTAAATGACTTATCTTTCTGAGCTAACGACTGAGAACCCTCTTCTCCCGGCATCACAGTTTTTGCCTCAGCATGTCCTTCGGATTGAGACTGGATTAAATCCTTGAGATCGGATTCACATGACTGCGTTTTGACATTGATGTCGATCCAGTTGTGAAGTGAATCTGAGGAATCTGTACCTTTGGGTTCTCTTTGCAGTAAAACATTCTTGATATAAATGAAAAATACAGGTAGTATGTCCTTTTATTAACCAGGTTAATGACTAGATAAACTGACAGAGAGTAATCAACTCATATATATACTTCAATTCTACTAATAAGGATTTTGTTTAAAAAATGCATTATGAACTCTATTTGCGTATCATTATCGGTGGTGTTTTCAAGGTCAAATAACTCAATACGGCAAACTGCTAAACGTTTTATGACAATTCACAGTATTATTGTAATCATTATCCAGCAAGCAATCGTTATTTGGCTTTCATAAAGCCTTATGGTTCTCAATGGAACGGTAAGGTATTTTCCAACGACAACCGGTTGGGGGATCTTTCCAATATGACATAGGATGTATGCGTAACAGACAGACAGGATGACGAACACTGCAACACTTCAACATGAATAATCCACATCCGGGTAAAGGAGAGAATTCTCAAGATGTATTTTGTAACAGACCAAGAATTACTTTACATTAAAGTTAGTTATAAATTGATTAAATTCAACGATTATTATTCACAAGATTTACCAAATTGATTAATTATCACTTGGATGCAAAATCGTTTAATTAATAACTATAGTGAAAGATACATTGAGAACCAGATAAACTAACTTCGGATTGAAAGAATTAATACGATTGGAAACGAATCGAAAGTCAACGAACGAAACTTATTTTGGACGTGGGTTTGGATCCCACCTCTATAACAGCCTTGCCCCCAAATGCCCTGGTACAGCCGAGAGTGGGGAGAGCCAGCTCTCCCTCTCGAATTGCTCTCACATGTCTACGCGCATATAGCCCCTCTATCAGGGAAGTCCGGCTCACTGACTTCTCGTGGCATTACTGTTGTTTACGAAGTTGAGAGGACAAAAGCGAACGTCCGGCGCTTTAACCGGGTTGGTGGACACGGAGAGTCCACCTAGGGGAGTTGGAAAACCCTGATTCCAAACCAATGGTGCACATAGGCTTCAGTATCCCGAAGGAACAAATGGTGTATAAACCTATTGTTGGTCACCGGCTTCCATAGGACTGCATCTCCCGACGTTGTGGATTAGACCTTTAGGTCGAAGGCTCCGGGTGTGGCCCCCTAAGAAAACCACCTGCTTCGGTTTGGGCACCCGGGCAGTATTACAGCCCTCACACATATCAAATGAGATCTGTGGCGCATATGTATATGGTGCCTCCTTGTACCAATATCTGTGTTAAAATAAATAATAATTTTGGACCAATATGTAGATTTTAACATTGATTGCTTTCTAAATATCGTATTCGGGGATTCAGAATCCCTGGCAAGCCTCTCAATTGATTGAATATTCAGTGTTTGTCCAATGAAATATCACTATCAAAATATGAGGGACAAGACGATTAAACTGTTTTATCCTCAAAAATGCTTAGTGACACAGTTCTTATGAATAAAAACATTGTGAAGAGATCTATTCGGTATCTTTACCAGTTAGGCATACGGTTAATATCTACTGCGTAATCCACTTCCAGGGCACATAATCTCATCAGATTCCTGATTGCTAATGCACATCATTATAAGCCTCAGATAAAAATTAAAACTGTTTGCAGAAAAAGTCAGTTCTACAAACTACGAAGATGTGAGATGTGGATATTAACACTTACCAAGCAATCGGTTTTGAAAACGAATGACGGTTTAAACAAATTAAGCCGTTAAAATTAGAATACGACTCACTAACTAAGTACGTCCACAGATAATACCAAAATGAATACCGAATGATGGCTAGGAATGAATACTAATACTATTATTCATTTACCAACTATGGTTTCGTGTGCTCACTCTCGAGCCACGTTGTTGAGTAAGTTAGTGAAACTATCCGGATGTCAAAGCTATAGTTCGAACCCGTGAAAAGACTAAACGTAGATAATTCAAAGGGGAAATACAAGTGGAAATTTGAAAAGTTGTGAAGCAATTCAACAATAATGTTTGCTCTTAACAAAACCGTGTAGAACGAGCTTTATTCAATTACCAGGTTTTCAGACTACTAAAACTTTCAAAAACGATTATATCTAATGTTAAGACATTGAACTTCTCAGTACCGGCATTTAAAGTTTACGATCACATCACATAAAAGATACAAATTTAGATTAGATAATAAGGCTTTACTGAGAGAACACTGGACGAAATATAAAGGTTATGTAACTTCAAACACATTCCCGGCGCTGCCGCATGTGAAGAGCCAGAGTTCATAGACTTGGATACCGAACTTTAGACATGTGATTCACGTTTCAGTAGTGCTTTTCTAACACTCGGGGCACATGGCTTAAGACATAATACACGACAACAAACTTAGTCGTTGAGTTACGTTCATTTTGTTTGTTCTATAAGCCGGCAATACTTCGAATATATGAATAAAGGATCTATGGTAGAGGACTGTTTAGTGTTTTTGGTGGCAGTGCATATCGCCATGGTGTGCCAGAAAGTTTTCATGTAATGCACTTATCTTCTAGTAGGTAGATCGAGTGGATTTTAACACTAAGGGTTATACTGGTCAGAAGGTGGATACGGAGAGTCCACCTAGGGGAGTTGGAAAACCCTGATTCCAAACCAATGGTGCACATGGGCTTCAGTATCATGAAGGAACAAATGGTGTATGAACCTATTGTCGGTTACCGGCTACCGTGAGACTGCATCTCCTTACGTTGCTCCACTGCATTGTGGATCAGACCTTCAGGTCAAAGGCCCCCCAAGAAAACCTACTTCGGTTTGGGCATTCGGGCAGTATCCCAACCCTCACACAAATCGAACGATCTATGTGGCACATACCTATTTGGTGCCTCCTTGTACAAATGTTTATGTGTTTAAAGAAATAAAATATACTAGTCAGAAAGGGGGTTCGAGATTTATACTTAGCCACCAAAACATGATAAACCCGAAGTATTGTAAACGACTAAATTCTTGTATTTTTTACGCCTCAAGTATTTTTAGTTGAAGCGACAGGTGTATAGGTGGACGCGAGTCCTGAGTTGAGGTGGTTAGTGTCAGAATCACATTCTTTTGACATTTACGGTCAAAGTGAGGAGCCTCTCAGATCAACAAACTAGTTTAAATTCAGTTGCGTTTTGTTAGACTTATTTATAAAATCACCGGAAGTAACATGTCCTATACGGTTTACTAACAATTTATACTATTCCGAGTTTAGTATAAAGTAAAATAAACGTTTTCAGATATCCACTAACCTGATCAGATGAACAGTCATCCGTTTGTATTGAAGCCACCAGAGGATCTTTGCCATAGTGTATGGAACCATCTGGAGACCAGGACACAATTAATTCTGAAATTATGTCGATGAGTAGTTGTTTGAATTTTGATGGCTATAAAAAAATCCAAATTATAAGGAGATAAAACTTACAGATAAGGGTATTACTGAATCCATCAGTAAATCGAACTGTGGTGAAGATTCAGAGTGCATTTTCAGTTCCAAGAGGACCAAATCATCAACTTTTAACATACAGCGCGTCTGAAATTTGATAGATAATCTAATTACCAAACCTTCATGTGGTAGTTCCTTAGTGATAGTGTCACTTTCTGCGATGATTTTGTTTGACCTGTGACTACGTCTCCATGCAAATACAACATTGGTATGGAAACAGAAAAATACAAAGCCTAGAAAATGAATGAAAATAACTAATACCTACCACCCAGCCAGGCAAATCTTCGCTACGTACTTCGAAATCCGAAATCTTTACATCAGAGAGTGTGTATTCCGAAACAGGAGTAAAGTGAATAGATGTCTCTCTCTAAATAATAAAGTTGTAGACACTAAACAACCTACTAAAGAGTTGTTAATACAGTCGTTAATTTTTTGCAACCAAATGTTGCACAACCCGGACGCTGTGAAATTACACGACTCATATATTCGACGTAGAAGCTCAATATCTGGGGTCCCATGCCTGAGGCAGTCCACAGTTTTAAGGGTGGTTTTTTGACATTTAAGCTCTCTGGACCAAACTTTTTGGAAGGAATAGGCTGTCACATATATTATTAACAGTATTGCAAGAATTAGAACGAAGCTATTGGTGGTCCTCAGTAAGACCTTAAGGTTCAGAAATGTAGAAGAAAATAAAGTTTTAACATCTGTCCAGTTGTAAACAGCAATTTTAGCTATGAATGCCTCCATCCCATCATCGTGACGTACACAACTAAAGAAAAGTCATATGCCCGCTCTCCTTGATATCGCGGGCAACCCGGCTGTTATCAGTTTCAGTTCTGAAAGGACATGAGATTCATATTTAGATATATGTAGTAAAGACAGAAAGCATGCGGCCTGTGTTATTCTTTTACTAGTATGCTTCTGTGAGTGTCCAATCTTCAAACAGGTTCCAAGTATTGGTGACTAGGTGTGAAAACCTGTATGCCACGGGTATTTTGTTCGTTCTTGGTTTTTCTACTTGCCTGTTATGTTCTCTGAGATGTCCCGATCTAGTGGGAAGAAAAAGAGAGAATAAGTTAGGTCCAAAATCATTTCTCTGCATTCGGAACATCAAAATTAGATCTCCTCTTAACCTGCGATAGGACAGAGTAAAGAGGTTCAGATTTTCAAGCCGCTCTTTGTATGGTAAACCCCGGAGTTCTGGAATTCTATGGAAGTTGTCTTGGTGCTGTTTTGTGTATGGGAGTGACGATTGCATCTTTCCAGTCCATAGGTAACACACCTTGGTCGAGTGACACATTGAATATCACAGTCGATGAGACTGCAATATATTGTGAAATCTGTCTCAGGATTTTAGGATGTAGTTCGTCCGGTCCTGTTTGCTTTTCTATGACTAATATGCTAAGAGCCTTAAATACATCGTCTCGATCAAAGTCCACGGTGAGCAGGAGGTTTGTTGACTTTTATTTGGGTCTATTTCTTCGTCTGGAAGAGGCTCCTGAGAGAAAGCTGCCCTGAAATAGTTTGCCATAGCTTTTACTTTTTTTCCTGATCATCCCCTATCGTTTCAGATCCACTCTCTTAATTAGGTTGGGAATCCAATGCTGCATCCTTGTTCTGTAATTTATGTACGATAAAAATCTCTTAGGCTTCTTGATTGCAGATTGTGCCAACTGCATTACACATTTTCTCTGAGCTTCCCGAATTTAATTATACACGTGTTTCTTACCAACCCGTAGTGTTTCATCGTACCTTCTGTGCCAAAGGCTGATAGCAACATCCCAATATTTCTCCTTTTATCTTAGTAAACGTCGAATATCTCGTTCTATCCAGGGATGGCCGTGCTCACAGGGTATATATAAATGAGTTGGCTGATTGTTTAGTTGCCTGAAGTGAGTCCATGCCTCTTGTACTGATACTCTTGAGTCAATTTTCCAGTTTTCAGCCGATACTGCAAAGTTGATTGCTTCCATACCTGCCTTCCACATGTTAGGACGGGCCGGCGCAACTGTTTGACTAGCAATCTAAGCCATGAATTTGAATAATATGGCTGCATGATCGCTTCTCCTTAAAAGGTGGGAGGAATGTCATTTGACCGATGTCATCACAGTACGTGAAGACGAAGTCCAAGAGAGACGAGGAGTTTCGTAATTCATATCTGGTCGGATCTTTAATGTGCTGGAATAAAGCTAGTGCAACTAAGGTTTCTAACAGTTTGCAATCAAATGACGTTGTCGATGACCCTACTTCTAGGTGCACCCAGTTTATATACGGTGCATCAAAGTCGCCTACCATAAGGCTTTTTTCCCATATTACACCAGGACCTAAGTTTGCTTAGGAGGAGGTCATCTACTACACATTCTGGGCTGCCGTATACTACGACTAATCCACTATCTTGTCGTCTACATTTCAGCCTGCAATGCACCAGTTCATATGTCCCTGAATAACGTGCTACTGTCTCAACTGCTAGTATGGTCAATGTACCTTTCGTGCACAGGATAACACCGCCTCTCCTGCGGTTTAATCTATCAGCCCTACTGGATAAATACCGATCAAGTGAATTTCATAATCAAACACTTCTGATATTAACCATGTTTCTGAGATAGCAATGAAATCCGTTTTTTTCTATATCCATTATTGTCTTGAGCTCCGCTATTTTATTTAATAGGCTGCGAGCATTTATGTAGCACACCGTTAATTCTGTGGAGAACTTTCGCTTACCACTAGAGTGGTTTGGTAATTGTTTTGCTCCAAACTATTACAATTTGAAAACCCTTAATTACGAGGTCTGTTTCATCGTTTCGGCAGGGCTCATTTATTTCTACTTCTGCAGCTCGTCTCTTAGTACGGTCAACCAGGCTGAGATCCTCATGGACGTCGAATCTGGATCCAATCAGTTTCCAGTATCAGTTTCCCAGTATCATATTTCGTCAACTGTACCTTCAAGAGGCGGCTTTTCTGAGTACTTTCAGAGTCCACCTTTTGTCCTATTCTATAAAGCTTACAGATGCTAACTCCTGAAACTGTTTCTGGTAATAGCTGGCTTGTTAAGGACTTCATGTAACTGAGGTCGTGCTCAAATCTAGCCTTTGGTTCCTTTCCAGAAGATTCTCTCAACTTATGAAAAATGACTGACCTCTCAGCGAGTTCCGTCTTAACACGTTGTGAAATTTTAGTTCCTGAAGACGTCTCTTCCCTGCGATCCGATTCCAATTTAGCGTCAAACGCAGCAGTCACATTCTGTTTTCTTACTTTTCTCTTTCTATGTGTGACTGTGAGAAACTCATCTAACTTATTTTGTCTCTTAATCACATCCTCTACGCCGCTCAGATTTGACTCCCCCATAGTTTGTTTTGCGTCGACATGTAAACCCGAAACTGGAACCGTAGATTTACCTTAGAGCAGTCTATAGGTACGTTCTTCTCACCGCGCTTTTTCTTTTTCTTGTGACAAAGCCTACAACCGCATGCTTGTTATCCGCTTCCCTGATGGGTGATATGTCTTGCTAATTGAACGCTATATCCGGTTCCTAAGCTCTCCTCGTAACCCCCAAGCTAGAACTACACAGCGGCCTGAAGACGAGAGAAAAAGCGCAAAACATGTGAGAAGCACTTTACTACAAAGGTTCGTTTTAGTACAGAAAATATGGGGTTTCTATAGTATTTTAGATGTCCTTGGGTTTCTCGAAGATTCCGTAATGCTACTAAACATAGTAACAGTATAGTAATCAGCCAATCAGAGACTCTACATGTTACTTTTCATTCTCTTGATGTTTCTGGCTAAACTTCAAGTGAACACTGATAGGATAGTGTTGTGAAGAGGGAAATAAGAAGCCCAGACAACTACGAAAACTATTTTCTTGGGACGTTATTTCATTTTATTCAAACTTTGTAAAACACATATTTATTTTTGTCCCTATTTTATTGTACATAACATGAGCTTTCGTTCTGTGTATCATTCACTGCCATACCCTTTTTTGTTCCGAAAATATTGTAATTTAAGCATAATATTTTGCATCCTATTTTCTACCCTAATTCCCAGTTTCGGGCATAATTGTATTTTTCCAACTTATCCTACGTTGTGGTCAGGATATTCACTTATTTATTCATGTAGATTTTTGCACTAATCCGAATTCAGAATTCAGAGTGTTCCAACTGTCTTGTCTTCTCTCACTTGCGTGCTTGTCAACCAATCAGGTTCTAGAATAGTTCTCTCTCTCTACCCCCCTCGAACTCACGCGTAATAGACTCAAGGTTAAGCCACTCATCCTATCGCGCCAAGGTCATAATCTAGACTAGACAGATCAAGGTCAAGTCATAACAAAGTATCGACGGGGTAAAAGTGATTCAAGGTCATAACAGATAGAATGCTTCTTAGCGTGTCCTGAGCTTTTCTTGGCTCTCGCGAGGAGTTTTTTAGATCACCCCAACAATGGGGTGTCATTCAAATCCAGAGCTCGGCTGATGATAACACTTTCTATTCCCTCAAAATCGAAATTTTGCCCATTTACTGCTGCCTGCTTATCTGAGAGTAATTTTCTAGCAATGTTCAGCGGCTCAATCGCTTCTGGAATCAGCAGAGACTTTGTGGAACAACATGCTTTTCACAGCCAACGTAATAATGGCTTGCATCACTTTTACCATGTGGTCGATGTGAGCCCGGTGTACAGATTGTGATACCACTTACAGCAGTTGTCACACTGCATCCCATCACCGACAGGCTAGAATGTTGTGTTAATCATGGCCTTTGTTTGAAAGAGTCGACAGTTGGACATTCAATTTCGTGTTAAGGTAATGAATTCCACTCAGTGATGATTCGATGGGAAAGTCGATAGTCAGCTGACAAGAAATATGTTCTGCGCCTACGAACTTCTTTGGAGTGTCCTCATAAATTCTCTGTTTTGGAAGACAAAACATTGGGGGTGTATCATATGCGAATTTATTACTAAGTACTTAGGAAACTGTAATCAAGTTACCTAGAGTTCTTCGATATGACAACAGGAATAGGTTTAGTTCAGTCAGTCGAACATCATACGGGAGCTTCACTATTCCGAGAATCAGCTTAGTTGGGGTTCTCTGAACCTTTTCCAAAAGCTCACTGTCTATCTTTAATCAGGCGCCGGCCACTTGTACGCAGTACTAAAGTTTAGGACGTACGAATACTGCATACAAAGTCAAAAACGTTGTGGTGTCGACATGACTAAGGGCCTAACGTATTGACTATATAGTTCTAAACCCTTTATCGGCCATTGCATGGTATTGTGCGGTAGTTTTTAAGTCTTGGCTAACGATGACTCCTAGGTCATTGTGTGTCTGAATAACAGGTAGTTCAATGCTACTCATCATGTATGTATCTGTAGCTTGATGACCAATACGCATCACAATTCACTTGGATTATTTATTAGCAAGTGCCAGGTTTGAGGCCATTCAGATAGTTTTTCCGGGTCATTTCGAAGTTCGAAGCTATCATCTTTACTTCTGATTGCTCTCCATGCCGTGACATCGTCAGCAAATGAGAGGACCGATGATGATAGGAGTTAAAAGGTCGTTTACATACATGACGAATAACACTGGCACCAAAACTGCATTCTGAGGTACTCTGTTAAGCACAGTTTCCCAGCTGGTCAACTTAGAGTTCACCCGTACACTTTGTTGGCGCCGAAATACGAAGTCTTTTATCCACATCAATAAATTGCCTCCAACCCCTACATTTCTTAAATTATATAACGGCCGGTTGTGCGGAACTTTGTCAAAAGCTTTGCTGAAATCAATGTAGGCTACGTTTACAGGTAACTTTTGGTCCTTAAGAGCGCACCAGCTTT